GTCTCGTTCAACAATTTCAAACGGATTTGGTTTGTGTTCAGAAATTTGGATTATATATTCGTCCAAATAGTCATAATTTACTTTCGAAATTAGTTAATGCAGTAATATAGAAAACATTTTCTTTTAACGAAAGAGTGTAACTTTAACTGCATCAGCAGCTGTTTACAACTTTACTTTAAAATCTTATACAGGCGACAATATGTTTTATGTTAATTGCTTACTGATTCCAACTCAACAAAGAATTTTTAAACGTGTCCGAGAAGTACTCTGTACGTGGCACTGTTAACCGAAAGGATGATGCTTTAAATGTAAGTCTGTCAGAAATTCAAACTGTCTGTCAAAAACTTAGAAACGAAATTAAAGAACTAAAAGAAGAAAACGCATCACTGAAAGCAGAGCTGGAAAACGTAAAAAGAAACAATAATAGCCTAAATAATTCAGAACCACTAAAAGTAACAAGTGTGCGTACAGCACCTAGCACAAGCGAAGAGGACTTTACTGGTTTTGAAACCGAAGACAGCAACACAATGTTAGCTAAATCTTTTGATTTTAAACCAAAACCTGTCACGAAAAGAAAGGCCAAAAGATCACCCGAAAAACCTATTGGTGTCAGTTCAAATATGGCAAAAAAAAATAAAAAAAGTGAGGAAAAGAAAACTAGTAAGCAAGGTACACACATTGAACAAACCCCATCCCAAAATATTGAGGTAGAAAAAAATGTTCAAGAAAAAGAACAAGCTAAGAACAATAAAAGCACAACAGTAGTAGACAGATAAGCATATACCACCACCTATCTATGTCTCTGGAATCGAAACCTTTGATGCAACCAAAGAACCATGTAAATTTACTCTAATCAAGGATCAGAACAGGAAAGTTAATACGCCAAGCAGTGACTCATACAGGGCTCTTACCGCAAAACTGAATCAACTTAAAATACAATTCCACACCTACGAAGACAAATTTGATAGGCCAATTAGAGTTGTAGCGAGAGGACTTGATTCGCCATGTAAGGAAAAGGACATACTTGAAGACTTGTTAATGCAAGGTTTCAACGCCGTAAGTGCGATAAATTTGATAAAAAGAGATACTATCACAAACTAAGATGGCTCCAGAATAGTTAGAAGAATTAAAATGCCACTGTTCACTTTAACATTCAGCAAAGAATATGATGTGAAAAAAATCTACAGCATTACCTCGGTTATGGGCATAAAAGTCAAAATAGAACCTATTCGCAAAAAGGTCAGCAGAATTGTTCAATGTACAAGATGTCCAGCGTTCAATCATACCCAACGGTACTGCAACAGAAATTATAATTGTGTCAAATGTGCTCAGAATCATCCGTCTGATCAATGCGAAATAAATAAAAGCGTTCCTACTACATGTGTCAACTGTCGGATCAACAGAAAAGGAGACTCAAACTGTTATCTGAAAAAAAACTTTCCTTCGCATCAAGAAAAAAAGGCAAAAAGTGCTTCAGAAGACAATGTTAAAAATACTAAGGACGTCATAAAAAGCATCCCAAGTCATAGCAAAGAAAAAATTATCTATGAAATAAGCAAGCCAAGACATCTCCAACTTAAGAATAAGCATAAATAATAACTCGTATTATAACTACATGGAATGCAAACGGACTATTATCCCGTCTAAAAGAACTAGAAATATTTCTTAACTACTATAATATTGACATCAACTTAATATCCGAGGCACATCTTACTAACCAGTCATATGTTAATATTCGTAATTTTAACTTCTACTTTACTTCCCTTCCAAACGACGTTGCACATGGAGGTACAGCAATCTTTGTCAAGGAAAATTTATTGTCGTATGAAGATTACAAAATCGAAACATCAAGTATCCAACTCACAACAATCTGTATCCAAACTAAAAATAAAAATAGAATATTCAAGGTATCTGCTATTTACTGTCGACCTGGCTTTTCCATTCAGAAGGAACAGTTTGTAGATATATTTAGTCATCTTGAAACAATTTCAAAATTGGTGGCGACTTCAACGCTAAGCACAATTTCTTGGTAACTCCCAGGGGCAGAACCCTTTTTAACGCTGCAAGAGAAATTGTGATTTCCTATCAACAGGCTCCCCAACATATTGGCCATCTGATCCAAACAAAATACCTGACCTTTTGGACTTTTTTGTCTCTAAAGGAATCAATAGCAACTTCTTGTTCACAATAACATTTCGACTTAAATTCTGATCACACTCTAGTAACACTGAGTATTAGTGACAACTTTATTGAAAAGGAAACTGCTCCCTGATTGGTAAATAAAAAAACCGACTGGGAGGTATTCAAGGAAAAACTAATATTTTTCTCACTGCCTGGGCACGCAATTCTCACATGCGCACAACTGGACAAAGAGGTCGAGCAACTTACGGCGGATATACAGCAAGCTGCACTCGAAAGTACCCCTGCAATTAAGTCAAAGAACGTGCAAAAGAGTTATCTTTCTGAAATTGTACTGTTAATTAAAGAAAAAAGAAAGGCTAGCAAAAAGTGGCAAATCACAAAATATCCAGGTGACAAAACAAAAGTTAATCAATTAAACAACAAATTAAGAAAGATGGTTACTGAATTTAAAAACGAGTCCATCAGAAAGCGAACTGGATAACGATAAAGAAACAGATTACTCACTATGGAAGGCAACCAAAAAAATCCGGCGTCCAAAAGCCCAGGACCCGCCAATTAAAAAACCAAACGGCCAGTGGGCGAAAACTGAGAAGGAAAAAGCTGATATCTTTGCTCTTCACTTGAAAAGTGTGTTTAAACCCTTCCCTAAGTTGAGTGATGAGGAAGATACCAGTTATATTTATAAAAACGACGTGGTAGAAGTTCCGTTAACAACATTAGCTGAGCTCAAATCTGAAATTAATAACATGAGTAACAAAAAATCGATCTCATCACTGGTGAAATCATGAAGAACCTACCCCACATCGCGTTATTGAGATTCAAGGAAATTATAAACTCCTGCTTTAAGTTAATGTACGTTCCTAGAATATGGAAAATTGCAGAAATCATAGCAATATTAAAAACGGGCAAATCCCCTATTGACGTTGCCAATTCCCTGCTGCCAATTATGTCAAAAATCTTTGAAAAACTGTTGTACAGAAGATTAGCTCCCACTATTCAACATCGAAATTTAATACCTTCACATTAATTTGGATTCCGGGATGGTCATATGACTATTCAGCAAGTACATCGAGTAACCAATGAAATTGAATCAGCTCTCGAAGCAAAACAAATTCGTACTGGAGTCTTTCTTGACGTGTCGCAAGCCTTCGATAAGGTCTGGCTGGAAGGCCTGAAATTCAAAATTCATCGTGACCTTCCATTTCAGTATTATGAAATACTAAACTCATACCTGACGAATAGAGAATTCCGTGTAAGATATTGCGGGAAGTATTCTGAATTAGAAAACATAAGTGCTGGTGTACCACAGGGCAGGGTCCTTGGTCCTTTACCATACTCTTCATACACGAGAGACTTACCTGTGGGGGGTCAGGTCACCACAGCCACATTTGCGGACGATACCGCACTGCTAGCAGTAGCTGACAATGTCAATTCATCAACTGAAAAGGCACAAGCTGCAGTGAATGACGTTGTACACTGGGCAAAGAAATGGCGCATAAAACTGAATGAGTCTAAATCCGCACATGTGAACTTCACAAACAAAAACATTTCAACATTCCCGATCACAATAGATTCTAAAACAATACCATATTCGAATTCTGCAAAATATCTGGGTATGACTCTGGATGCGAAGGTAAGATGGAAAGAGCACATAAAAATGAAAAAGGAGCAACTTAATATAAAATTAAGAAAACTAAATTGGCTGTTGGGCAGTGATTCCGAACTATCTATCCACAATAAAATCCTAATTTATAAACAGGTGCTAAAACCAATATGGATTTACGGAATCCAACTCTGGGGTTGTGCGAAAAAAACTAATGTGGAAATTATTCAAAGATTTCAAAACAAGATCCTTAGGCAGATTGTTGGCGCACCATGGTATGTTCGCAATAAAGACCTACATAGGGACCTTAAAATTAGTAGTGTTGAGAGTGAAATCAAAAGATTTGCCTCTAAACATGAAGAAAGACTAACGAACCATCAAAATGAGGAAGCGAAGAAACTGATACTCACTGGCAATGAAGTACGCCGCTTAAAAAGGACGAAGCCACATGAACTGGCTCATCAATAGTTTATAAGTCGTTATATATTTATTAGAGATAAAGGTTTCCTAGTCAAAAAGTATATTTTGGTCGGAACATATAAATAAAAAAAAAAAAAAATCTGGTAAATAACTAAAATCAATATATACATAAGTATATTTTAATCTAATTTTAAAATTTTCGACTTGCTTACACCTTGAATTATTCGAAATATAAAACTAAATAAACCTTCTATATATTTTAATCTTTTATTCAAATTAAATGAAATGAACATCAATCCGTTTAAATAAAAAACAACATAAAATATTTCTATTTTACTTATAATAAATACTTATAATACCTATGTACATACATATATTTACTGTATATATTGAACATAAACCAAATAGAAACTTCAACATAATAAAGTAACATTCTTTTCATAGTTTTTTTACAATAGTAATAAATTATTTTGAAAATTTACAGTTATAAGTCATGGGCGTATAAAATCTGAAAAGAATTTTCATTTGGTAAAAATTTAGAAACTTCAGATAAATCTGGCTATCTAGTATCACTGAGTGCAAGTGCGAACTGCTGGGTCTGGGTAGAATATTCCGAATGCAGTTTTATCATTTCATCTGAATAGTATAACGAATCCTTCATTCGCTTATTACACTTACAGCTTGTTATCTGGAATAAATAATTGCGCTGTTTAACTTTGTGAACAAAAATACCTCAGCGTGAATAACTTTTAATGACTAAGTAGTAAAAGAACTATTTTTAAAAGAAAGAGTTAACACTTGGATAAAAAAAAGAAAGAAAACGCTTACCTCGTATGTCAGTTTATTGAAATTGTATGAAAATTTTCTTAATATTTATAAGGGATCATAAACGTCATTTGTTAAGATATTTTATACTTAATTTTTAAGGAATTATTGTAAAAAACGTAATTCAATTTTAATTTACGGAAAAATTAGAGTAAGTGAAATTTGGTTGATTAATAATTACATTATTATGCTTCATATATGTTGCTTAGGTTACCGGAAAAATGTCGCATACGATATTGCTTGTACAACCAGGGGTTCGTCCCGAGACCCGTACTTACAGTGATTACGAAAGTGTAAATGAGTGTATGGAAGGTGTCTGCAAAATATATGAAGAACACTTAAAAAGACGGAATCCAAATACACCCACGATTACTTATGATATAAGCCAGCTATTTGATTTCGTTGATACTTTAGCCGATATTAGTTGCCTGGTATATCAAAAGTCAACAAATACATATGCTCCTTATAACAAAGAATGGATTAAAGAAAAAATTTATATACTTTTAAGACAAGCAGCTGCAAGTACAGACTGAGATTTTTCTTGCGGAAATGAATTTATTTGTGCTTACAAATAACTCATAATTAAGAAAAAATTTGGATGGAAAGTATACTAAATGAATTGAATAATATGTATTTAAGATTTGCTTTTCATTCAATATAAAGTACATAGGTTATTAACATTAATTTTGAAAAATGTAACACTTTAAGTTTAGTTTGTAATTTAATATATGGAATATTTTTATGTTTTAATATTGAAAACAAACTTTTGCTTCAAGTAATATATCTTGAAATCGAAATTTTGAATTTTGTTAATATAGAATATATGTATGTACATGCATATGGAAATATATAGTATATATATATATACAGGTGTAAGCATTCTGATCGAAAATCGGATTTTTAAACAAATTGATAAAAATTCGGAAGTGTCAGTTCATACATTAGAGTTTCAAAACCAAATTATAAAATTTTACAAAATTTTGGTGGAAAAACGATAAAAACAATTAGCGCCGACTACTTTTAAAAGTATTTACTATCCATTAGTTTCTACCTTAAAGCAAGTACTTATTATTTATTTAAGTAAGTATTTATTACTTGCTTTAAGGTAGAAACTAATGGATTCGGTTCTTAGCTTAGATCTTAATGTTGTTTAGTGAAAATGTTCGACAAGTCATTGCTACAAAAAAGGCTTATTCGAAAATTATGTGTACTTAAAGTTTTAAAACATTTTTGATGATTGTTTTATAAGTGGCGTAAAAATATTTTACGTTAAGGTTCATATAAGGAGATATATTGGATATAGTCATACATATTTTATATATTATACATACATTTGGTTGAGTTATAAAAGCCTATATAAGTATACAGACCCCGCCATCGGGCATCATTAACTGACAAAAATAATACTTTTTTTATAAATCCGAAATTCACGTCGGATTTAAATTTTTTTTTGTGAATTGTAATTTTTGCTACTTTTATTCCAAATTTTTCAAGTGAAAAAATTTTAAACCTTGACTTGAAATTTTGTCTACAATATGCATATTACAGGCACATAAGTATGTACATACATGTATATAAATTTTTTCAGTTTTTACAAATTTTTGAACAGCCGTACTTGCAATATAAGACCATTCTTTCCAAAAGTATGATATGGTATTCGGAATAATCATGTAGAGATGCCGTGACTTCAATAATGCGCTTACAACGTAAACTTTACAAAGTATCATATTCAAAAAAAGTTCTTGACATTGCTCACTTTTCCTAAGTGCTTTCTATACGTAGTGGTACGTAAAATAAAAGTAATGACATATGTATATACTATCTATCAGGCCATCAAACTCAGACAGCAAATCAAAAATAAATTCCAAATTTATATGGAGTTTATATGGAAGAGGTGTCGGAATTTGTAAGGAAATTGATCAATATTTTTAGCTCATCTGCATCTACATATTTTTTTGAATTCCTTCTAAAAAATGCATTAAAAAAAAATTGTAATTTTAAGGGCAGACAATCTTTCTTGTTTTCCAAACGGAAGGGTACTGAATTATAGAGTAAAATTTTTGAATTATAATATTATAATCTAGATGGCTTTTAAAACTATACTAAATAAAATGAAAATTAAATACTCAAAAATTTCACAAAAAAAAAAATAAAAAAATATTTCAATCGGCATCCTTCTAAAATATAAAACATTAACAACTGTTTTTGTAATTTTTTCTAATTCAAAATTTCGGAAAATAATTTCAACTTGAGGTGCCCTGATAGATATACATACATATGTATATGGCATTAATAAAAGTATGTAAATCGGGTAGTCAAAAAATTGAGTATGTACATATATCTACCACGGCTGGCAGAAATACAGGTCTGTATCCTAAGAGAAAAAGACAATTCACAGCTGACGAATTTACGAGTATTCTTATATCTATAGAGCCCTTTTTAACATCATAAAACTCCCACTAAATCAACTTTTTTTTTCAGATTTTTAATTAGAAAAAGTTACATTCTTAAAGTTTTGTGTTATTAAAACATTAAAAAATTGATTTAAAAAAACCTTTCAAGTCCGTTCATTTTTTTAAGATTTCAATAAATGCTACACTACAGGGAAAAAAAAATAGTGCAATTTTTTTTCGAAGTATTTAGTTGATTTTGATGTATTTTTCAAAATTTGAGAAAATGTACATTTGATATAACGAGTTTGCTAATTTTGTATGATATATCTCCCAAAATGTATACATCTGATATAAACACATGTGTATCTATATATTTTTCATGTGTATACTATGCTAATTAAACTTATACATTTCATTATTCATAAAAATTACTGGATATGTATGTGAATTCTGTTTTACATTAAAAGTCCATATGAATTTTTTTTAGGTTTGATTAGTTTTATTAGAAATTATTTTCACATTGTTAGTAAGGCTAATTCGCTAATTTACCTAAACTACCGCATCAGAAACTTTAGAACTTATACAAGTTTCTTTATAATTTTCTTATTATGTTTGCTTTTATATAGGGGACAACTTGAAACGACGCATCTTTTATAAGGATTATAAAATTTTAAAAGCACTTTCATAATTATAAAACCTCAAATAATTACAAACTTAAATTAAAATCTAATAAAATTTTAATAACTTTATTTTAACTCATGTATTTTAGACTAAAAAATATACCACTACATTTTTTTCTCAAATCTCAATTCTCTCAGATATGTTGTCTGACATGGTGGTACAAAAAATATGCGGAAAAACTCGAAAATATATTTAATCGAAATTATAGTTAAAATTTTGAGCTTAAATTTCAATTTTTGATATTTTACTCAGAGAACTCCAAATTTCATGTCTGTATAAAAATGTTTAGGTTTTAGTCAACTTTTCGTATAGAAAACTCGAAATGAAAACAGGCAAAAATTATAATTTTTCTAAAAAACAACAAAAAGAAATGATTCTTCAGAAATGTCATTTCGCCAAAAGTAAATATGCATTATTACAAATCCATTCAAAAAAAAGTAGGATCCAGGCCTTAATTTTTTGTAATGTCAAAATATCTACCTAATAACTAATTCGACTCTCCATTTACATCACAATAATGCAATCACCAATATATGTATACAAAAAATTGCTAGAAGAGTTAAGCAGTATACCTTTATTATATTCATTTTTATACACATAAGAATTGTTGAGAGAGGGAAAGAGTTCACAATAGATATGCCTACCTGTTTTTTTATAATGTATTTTTAAAAGCGAGAGTTATTTATTTTTTCATATTACATAGTTTCTTATGAATACACATTCATACATACGTAGCGGTGATATGCATTTTTTTTATTAAAATGCTTAATTTATATTGTCTACATTGTGGCTTGACGTGAAATCAGTTCGAAACTTAAGCTGCGTTTTTACTATGTTAGCCTAAAAGCCCAAAACGACGTTTAGCTATTAAACTTCAAATCATTATTAACATTTCAAGTCAAGTAAGCAACTTTAGCGAAGCCGGCTTCAGGTCAAGTAAGCAACTTTATCGAAGCCGGCTTCAGGTCAAGTAACGTTTTATAGGCATAATAATAAGCTTAAAGCAGCCATACAAACGGGGTACGTACATATTACTACATCATATTGTGTATCTTCCTTGAATAGGTATGTTTTGTATAACAAAGTATGGAATTTTAAATTTATAACTATTACTTTCATTCATTCGAATGTTTTTAGCCAACTTTTATGAAATAAAAAATAAAATATGAAAAATAAATTTTGTTATCAAAATAACAAAATTTTTAGCTGACTTAATTTAATTTTCAGTTCAATGTTTTTGGTACACTCGTTTGTTAACAATATATTTTTTTTTTTCATGTCTACACAATCCTTATTACCATCTACATATTTCTAAAGAAAAATGGATTATTTTAAGATTTTGGAAGTGGCAAGGTAACGAAAAGTAACGGAAACAAGATGCAAATGAAAACTAACGGAATGGAACGAGTCGAATTTGTTATTAATAGATATACTTTGCTATTTTTTGATAGATATACTTTGGTTCAAATATGAAACATACTCGTATACCCTTATTATGATCGGCGAAGCAATTGGCTAGGCAAGTCTAATACACAAGGCGAATCGAATGACATTTTAAATTATGATCGGCGAATGCTTTCATTACCGCAAGCCATCAAAAAACCTACCGAAAATAATGAGGTTAACATATGACAACCACACATGCATATGTACATTGTTTTTGCTTTTTTGTAAAAACAATTAATTTGCCCTATCCCTTTAGCAATGTCGTGGTTGTCCTTTATTAATTTAATTAATGCTCGAATTGTTTTTGGTTCGTGTAAATGCTTTTATACCAAATAAAATAAAGTTAGGTCAAACCAATACAAAACAAATGGTTTGTTGAAAGCACGACCTTATTTTATATGGTTTTTTTTAATGTAATGGAGTTTACCGTTAGCTTTTTTCGTTTATAGAAATTTGAAAAAGCTTGCAGTTCCGGGAATATAAGGTGCCAAATATTCAAATTTTACAAATTTCGAGTGGGGTGGAGATGGGAAAAATTTTTCTCCTGTAATGTAAGATGTAGACGAAAAACGACATCGAAAATTTGGAAAAAGGGTTTTAGATAACGGTAAATTTTAACGGCCATTTTGTTTTTTTAAAATTCAGAAATAATATTTCGCGATAGAAGAAGCCAGCCACTATTTTTCTGCTTTTGCAAAATTTGAAAAATACTTATTGTTTCGCTACAATAAATAGTTAAAAAATATTGCGTGACATTAATTACCCAAGGAGTAGTAAAATTAGTTTATGTTTAATAAAATGTAGCATACATACGACATTTAAAATGGACTATTTATTTAAAATGGAGGAAAATTATTTACAAATAGTAATCATTCTAGTTTACAAATAAAATGTCACGGCTGACAGATATGTTTTTGTTATGTCAAGGTACTTACAGCTATCTACATAACTAAGTTTGACATTACAAAAAAACTGTATTTCTGTCAGTTATTAAGTACTAAGTACACTTTTTTATACAAGTTATTTGTATTGTGCTTTTAAGTAACTTTACAAACTCTGATATCTGATTATCGATCAAGGAGAAATTTTGTAAAATGGGTTCAAATGAAATATTTTATAGCTTAACTCGTGGAGTTCACTTTAAAAAACGAAAACTTGAAGAAGATGTAATTCATATTGCTAAATCACTTTTATTTATAATTGTATCTTATGTATATACATCCATATGTATATTTTTAGGAGAAGTCGCATGATAAATTTAGCTCTAAAAAATTTAAAAAAGAATTCGAGGATATTGTTGACAAGAACGAGATAGAGATTTTTAATAAGCAACGTAAAGCACATGAGGCAAATGAAAAAACGCCAAAAAAAGAAAAACAATTTCTTCAAGGATTTTTAGTTAAAAATACAAAGGTTTTTTTTTAGTAAATATAAAAAAGGCAGGCTGTGCAATATTTAATTTTTAGTTAAATGATTTCAGAAAAAAAAATAAAATAAATGTAGCTGGAAAACGAATTCCTAAAGCGATACAAAATTTTGAAGCCCTTCAAGTTGATTATGAAGTTCCTAAAATCTTGATAGACAATCTAAATTGCTGTGGCTTTTATGTACCAACACCGGTCCAGATGCAGGCTACTCCTGTTATGCTAAAAGCAAATATAAACTTAAAAAAGATGGTTGTTGAATTTAAATTTTAAATGCAAATTTTTAATTTTAGGGTCGAAATGTAATGGCTTGCGCTCCGACAGGTTCTGGGAAAACTGTGGCGTTTTTAATACCAATTATACGTGATTTAAGGGTTCATCAAAAAAAGGGATTTCGGTGCATTATATTATGCCCAACAAGGGAATTAGCCCAGCAAACATATAGAGAAACTCTGAGGTTGACTGAAAAAACCGGATTGAAAACTCACATAATCAGTAAAGTCAAAAAACTAGAGGAAAATTATGATTTAAAATTTAATAACAAGTATGATATACTTATATCAACACCTAATCGTGTAAGATTTTTGCTTCAATTTCATCCTCCAAAGATAGATTTATCCAAGTAAATGATTTTCATTGTATAATTAAACACTAAAAATGTATTTAATATCGTATTTATAATAAAAATGTATTTAGTATCGAGTGGTTTATAATTGATGAAGCTGATAGACTCTTAGAAGATGGTAAAAATAGTTTTAAAGAGCAGTTTGATGATATTTGGAATGCATGTTCAAACACAAGTAAAAAAATGGGTCTATTTAGCGCAACGTATACAACGCAAGTTGCAAAATGGGCTTTAAGAAATTTAAAGCAGTTAGTGAGAATTACAATTGGAGAAAGAAATTCAGCAACAAGTTTAGTAGACCAGGAACTTTTTTTTGTTGGAAGTGAATCGGGAAAATTGTTAGCTATAAGAAATATGATTCAAAATGGTTTAAAGCCCCCAGTTTTAATTTTTGTTCAAAGCAAGGTAAATTTTTTTTAATATTTTAATGCTGAATAAGCAGTAAGATTTAAAATTTCGTATCTATGCTAGGACCGAGCACAACAACTTCTTTCTGAATTACTTTATGATGGAATAAACGTTGATGTTATTCATGCTGATCGATCTCAACAGCAACGTGATAATGTTGTAAAAGCTTTTCGTGAAGGAAAAATTTGGGTGCTTATATGCACGGAATTAATGAGTCGGGGTATTGATTTTAAATGTGTTAATTTAGTTATCAATTATGACTTTCCACCTACTTCCATTTCTTATATACATCGCATCGGTAGAACAGGCCGAGCTGGAAGAAGGGGGAAAGCAGTTACCTTCTTTACGCAGGAGGACCAACCAAATTTGAGAAGGTGAGCTTTGAAATGAAAATTAAATTTCAAAAATTTTTTTCATCCTCGATCCTTTTCTTAAGATTGAATTGTTTTGTCCAATTATGAAAACAATTATAAGAAAAGTAGAAATAGAAGTAAAAGTTGGTATGTAAATTTCCTAAATTTTGTCTAAATTGTCCTATTTTTCGTATGAATGAAAAGAACACGTGTAGAATCAAATAAAGAAGCATTAGTTTAAGAGGTGTACTCGTATAGTTGTAAATGTAAAGGAATAACTATATGGAAAAACGAGATTCTTGATAATGATGTGAGTGTACATATGTAGGTACATCATTTTTAAATAAAAGGGATCTAGGAACAGAAACACTAAAATTAATAATTTATTACAAAAGAAATTTGTTAACTATTTTTAATATACTTCCAAACAATTAAAAGATGTTAAAATTAAGTTTTTTTTCTGCAAACCAGAATTCCAGGAAAAGAATTTTTGGAAAAAATTAAAATAAATGTACATATATGTAGATTTTTCAAAAATTCTTATTTTTGAAAAAAGTTTTATGGTTAACGTACTGGAAATTTGTAAGTTGAACCTGCATTTTTAAATGTCTTAAGATTTTATTTATTTATTATTGAAACTTATAGAATTAAAATTTCATTGAAGCTTATTATAGAATTAAAATTCGTCTACTGTAAGTTTAGATGTCACAATATAATTTATGTATAGTTTTTTTTATATATTAGAAGGCCCAAATAACATGGTGTATTCCTGTTTTGAAATGTTTGAAATGCTTTTCTTATTTCAATGTTTATTTCATAATTGTTTTGAGTTAGCTTAGTAGCGTTGTTCTAAAATATTTTTCAAAATTATCTTAATATTATAATATTATATGCATTCGCCACGTTTATAAACTAATTAGTTTACAATTAGTTGTACAATTTTTTAAATTAGTTTAACTTCTTGAGTTCTCCGTTAGGAGATTTATTAGCTTGCTGCTTATCCAGTTTCAATGAAGGTACCTTGGTCAAATGTTTAAAATATATTTGGTCAAATATTTATCCGCCACAACTAAAATACAATTAAGATATCTCAGTAATTTTGATTTTATAAGAAGAAAAAATAGTTTTAATAAAAGACCTTTATAAGAAACCCTCCGAAAATACTGTTATTGAAGTGGTTACGAAAGGGCACTGAAACAAAAAGTGCTTTTTAATATATTTGTGCTGTCTTTACTGGTGGAATAATACATTTTTTTTGTTTTTAGGAAAAGTATTTTGTAAGTTAATAACACAATTAGACAATTTCTCATCTTTTTCTCATAATTTAATAAATTATATTACTAAAATATTTCTACATATAATAAATTTCAGTATCGCGCACATCATACAAAAATCTGGGGGGCAAGTTCCAGAGTTTATGTTAACTCTAAAGAAACCAAAAAAATCTGAAAAGAAAAAGTTGGCGAATTACGCACCTAAGAGAGAGGATATTTTAACCACTCCCAAATTTGTGTTAGAGAAAAGGAAGACAAGTAAAGAAAATCTTTCCCAGATTGGAAATGGTAGAGGTAATACAAATTCGAAAAAACACGAAAGTTTTAAAGAAAAATTAAATTCCAATGGGCATAAGAAAAAGAATTTTGTACTTTTAAGCAAACGTGGAACAGCAACTAAAAATATATAAATAACTTACTTGTTGGTGTGTATAATATTACATTTTATTATAATTTTAATTTTGTTTATTAAATATAAAATATTTGATAAGAATTTGAAAAAAGTTTTGTTCTTCATTTACAAAAGTAAAACTTACATTTAAGGCACGTACATATGTATATGTATATTGTATATAATTAGTGTGTAGCGCATACACATAAAAACATTAACATTTTTGTATCAAAACACTCATTTATAAAGTACTTTTAACTAAATATAACAACTATTTAATTTAAATAAATAAACTAATTCACATCCATGTATGATATTGTTGTGTCTATATGTACCTACATATGTGTATATCATAAATTAAAATTTTTAAAATCTGATCATTTCAAATTATAGTTTTGTCATCCCTTTCCTATCAAAATATTTATAATCAGGTTATTTTTTTAGTTTTTAATAACTTCAAAGAAACCTATGATTCACAAAGCCAGTCACAAGGCAACTTCGGCATTTTACTAGCAGGCCACGGCAAATATCCTGATGTTTTAAATTTCCAATAATCATATGACACCTTGAAAATTAGGGCAAGCAAGAGTATTACTTCTGATGCTATAAGATAGTAAATATAGTCGGTCCAATCGTGCGACGATTGGCACAATTCTTTATCAGTCAATTCAATAACTTTTTGTGGCATATTATTGCAAAGAATATGATTGTAATCCGGTATATTATTATGCCTCTCTAAAAGCCAAAGCTGTAATTTAGAATAAGTTTCAATCATAAAAGGAAGATGTAGTAGATATGAATTATTTTACTTTGAGAATATTTGCAGAATTGCAATCACATTTTAATTTATTTCCTCCCAAATATAACACTCTTCCTTTTGGATTGTGGTCTAATGCATTCGACAAGAGATAATCCGGTATCTACAAAGTTTTCAAATGACTAAAAAAGGATAAAACAGATAATACATACATTGTCAATGCTATTCCATCTTAAAAAAAATTTTTGAAATGTTTCAATAAATGGTGTTCCTTCTAATTCATACATTGAAGATATTTGATTGTTGTCAGCATCAAATCTTAACAAATTTTTATAATCCAGTGAATGAAATTTGTTTTCAAGACTTGTTATCTAATTAATAATCATTTCAGAATTAATTTATAATTAATATGAAAAAGTTTTTTTAAAGTAAGGTATATGTTTAGTTTTTCTTAAACAAAATATTATTCATATGCATATCCAAAAAAAAAAAAAAAAGCAGGTATACAAAAGTCCTTTTTTAAAAAATAAACTTACATTGTTATTCGAAACATTTAAAAATATAGTATTTGGAGGAAGTTTTTCTGGAAGTTTTGTTAAACCTAAACTCGAACAGTCAACTCTCGCATTAAAAACTAAATGTTGTTCTGGGTTGATGCCTTCCTGCCGGAAAATGAAAATTGGAAGTAATATTTTATTTTTATCATATAAAACACTTACCCCCTCAAAAAACATTTGTTCTGGATCACATTTACATTTGCGGTTTTCTGGTTTAGGACATTCATCATTCAAAATTTTAGCTCTTTCTAGTTGACCAATTGGCATAGTTTCAGTAGAATTAAACCAATTATAAGTTGTATTCAATAAGCAATGAGTTGTTTCTGGTTCGACAAACGTGATACTTCCTCTATCAATTGATTCCAGTAAAGAATGGCACAGAATACGTTTATTACCCCTATAAACAAAACTATATTATATCGTGTATTTTACAATATACATTCTAATACTTTATATCCACTACTAAATTCCTGTGTTGGCTTAAGTTTGGAATTTTTGATAAGTTATTGAATGATATATCCAACATTTGGAAATTATTTAAATTCACGAGAGCTCTCTGGTCAATATGTGTAAGGTTGTTATTTGAAACATTTAGACATTTTAACTTCGCGTGTCTATAAAATTCACTACTTAGATATTTTATGTTACCGTCTGTTATAGCCAAGGAAGTTGCTGGTTTCAAAATAGATAATGATATATTAAAGGTTCTCATTGTTACATTTCTCATATGAATATTTGTCCAATTGCCCTTATAACATGAAGTTACTTGTAAAATGTCGGTAATATTGCAGCAAACAAAAGTATTTGTAGTGTTTGGATAACTTCGACAACGGCAGTATGGCTGTACATCCTTTTCATTTTGTTCAAACAATGTAGGATTTGTGCAATATTCAGCATCGGCATGGAAACAGGGGCTGCTTGGGGCTGGTGTTGCTGTAGTTAAAACCACCGAAGTTTCTGTAGGTGCTTCAGTCGAGGAAAAACTGTCAAACGACTCTATTTGTTGAGTATCGATGCCATCTTCTATGGCCAGTGTCGATTGTGTATAATAAGATAATATAAAAAAATGGAAAACCAAACCAAATATTTTTTCCAATAGATTCTAAAATAAAAATGAAGTGTACTTTTTTATCTCTGCATAATTATATGGTTATAGTACTATAATATTTTATAGTTGATAATAATTAATAAACGTAATAAGAGTTTCGCACTTAAAAATTTTTTTTTTTTTTCTCTTTATTGTTCCGACCAAAAAATACATTTTGACTAGGACAATCTATTTATCTCTAATAAATATATAACGACTTATAAACTATTGATGAGCCAGTTCATGTCGCTTCGTCCTTTTTAAATGGAGTACTTCATTGCCAGTGTGTATCAGTTTCTTCGCTTCCTCATTTTGATGGTTCGTTAGTTTTTCTTCATGTTTAGAGGCAAATCTTTTGATTTCACTCTCAACACTACTAATTTTAAGGTCCCTATGTAGATCATCATTGCGAACATACCATAGTGCGCCAACCATCTGCCGAAGGATCTTGTTTTGAATAATTTCCACATTAGTTTTTTTCGCACAACCCCAGAGTTGGATTCCGTAAATCCATATTGGTTTTAGCGCCTGTTTATTATATAATAAATTAGGATTTTATTGTGGATAGACAGTTCGGAATTACTGCCCAACAATCAATTTAGTTTTCTTGATTTTATACTTAGTTGCTCCTTTTTCATTTCTATGTGGTTTTTCCATCTTACCTTCGCATCCAGAGTCATACCCAGATATTTTGCAGAATTCGAATATGGTATTGTTTTAGAGTCTATTGTGATCGGGAGTGTTGAAATGTTGTTGTTTGTGAAGTTCACATGTGCGGATTTAGAGTCGTTCAATTTTATGCGCCATTTCTTTGCCCAGCTAACAACGCCATCCACTGCAACTTGTGTCTTTTCAGTTGATGAACTGACATTGTCAGCTACTGCTAGCAGTGCGGCATCGTCCGCAAATGTGGCTGTGGTGACTTGATCCCCCACAGGTAAGTCACTCGTGTATAAAGAGTATAGTAAAGGACTAAGGACGCTGCCCTGTGGTACACCAGCACTTATGTTTTCTAAGTCAGAATACTTCCCGCCATATCTTACACGGAATTCTCTGTTCGTCAAGTATGAGTTTAGTATTTCATAATACTGTAACGGAAGGTCACGATGAATTTTGAATTTCAGGCCTTCCAGCCAGACCTTATCGAAGGCTTGCGACACATCAAGAAAGACTCCAGTACAAACTTGTTTTGCTTCGAGAGCTGATTCAATTTCATTGGTTACCCGATGTACTTGCTGAATAGTCATATGACCATCCCGGAATCCAAATTGATGTGAAGGTATTAGATTTCGATGTTGAATAATGGGAGATAATCTTCTGTACAACAGTTTTTCAAAGATTTTTGACATAATTGGCAGCAGCGATATAGGTCTACACGACGAGACGTCAATAGGGGATTTGCCCGTTTTTAATATTACTAGGTTCTTCATGATTTCACCAGTGATGAGATCGAAGCCCGGAGATTTTTTGTTACTGATGTTATTAATTTCAGATTTGAGCTCGGCTAATGTTGTTAACGGAATTTCTGCCACGTCATTTTTATAAATATAACTGGTATCTTCCTCATCACTCAACTTAGGGAAGGGTTTAAACACACTTTTCAAGTGAAGAGCAAAGATATCAGGTTTTTCCTTCTCAGTTTTCGCCCACTGGCCGTTTGGTTTTTTAATTGGCGGGTCCCGGATTTTGGGACGCTGGGTTTTTTTGGTTGCCTTCCATAATGAGTAATCTGTTTCTTTATCGTTATCCAGTTCGCTTAGATACTTTCTGATGGACTCGTTTTTAAATTCAGTAATCAGCTTTCTTAATTTGTTGTTTAATTGATTAACTTTTGTTTTGTCGGCTGGATATTTTGTGATTTGCCACTTTTTCCTAGCCTTTCTTTTTTCTTTGATTAGCTGTACAATTTCAGAAGGATAACTCTTTTGTACGTTCTTTGACTTAGTTGCAGGGGTACTTTCGAATGCAGCTTGCTGTATATCCGCCGTAAGTTGCTCGACCTCTTTGTCCAGTTGTGCACATGTGAGAATTACGTGCCCAGGCAGTGAGAAGAATATTAGTTTTTCCTTGAATACCTCCCAGTCGATTTTTTTATTTATCAATCGGGGAGCAGTTTCAATAAAGTTGTCACTAATAGTCAGTGTTACTGGAGTGTGATCAGAATTCAGGTCGAAATGTAATTTAATTTCCAAAAAGTTACTATTGATTCCTGTAAAGACAAAAAAGCCCAAAAGGTCAGGTATTTTGTTTGGATCAGATGGCCAATATGTTGGGGAGCCCGTTGATAGGAAATCACAATTTTTTTCTCTTGCAGCGTTAAAAAGGGCTCTGCCCCTAGGAGTTAGCAGTCTCGAACCCCAGAAATTGTGCTTCGCGTTGAAGTCGCCACCAATTATGAAATTGTTATCAAGATGACTAAATATATCTACAAACTGTTCTTTCTGAATGGAAAAGCCAGGTCGACAGTAAATAGCAGATACTTTGAATATTTTATTTTTAGTTTGGATACAGATTGTTGTGAGTTGGATACTTGATGTTTCAATTTTGTAATCTTCATACGACAATAGATTTGCCTTGACAAAAATTGCTGTACCTCCATGTGCAACGTCGTTTGGAAGGGAAGTAAAGTAGAAGTTAAAATTACGAATATTAACATATGACTGGTGAGTAAGAGGCGCCTCGGTATTAAGCAGATGTCAATATTATAGTAATTAAGAAATATTTCAAGTTCTTTTAGACGGGTTTAATAGTTGCACTTAAAAATAGATATAAAATTCTTGTACGTACATATATACATATGCATACATACATGTGTAAGCTGTTAAGAATTGTGTATTTTGGAAAAACTTTTACGATCTTTAATCAACCAACCAAAATTTACACGGAAAGGTGGCCGTTCTCGAGCTACGCCTGTTAAAAAATTAGTCCAAAATTTTTCTTCATATTACAGATAATTAGGAATAAGTTTTTTAACAACAGAATAAACATCAGGCTTGTTTTACGCTCTAATGCAGTGGTCGCAATAAGATTTTATGCCAAAAAAGATGTGTTTTTTCAAACCAATATTTCGGCGTGCCGAATCTATTCCATAAAATTAAGTAGTATTGAAAATCAGAATCCTTATATTCGTTTTTATTAAAATCTTTATTTATTTCATTTATTATTTTATTTTTATTTATATTTAAACATAAATTTATTATAACATTTTAGTCAAAATTCAAATTCAAATTTGAAACCAAAATAGAAATTATGTTTTTAACAATATTTTTTGTACTGAGTTTAAGCCCAATTATATTTTGAAAAAAAAATTAAAAATAAGAAAATTGTGCTTTGGAAAGTAACAAAATAAATAAAAGAACTTTTTTAAAAAAAAAAATTTAATTTCATATACTTATCACGCTTGCCAGCAAAGTTTCCAAGCGTGCCAATCTTGGCACGCGTGCCACGTAATTGCGATCATTGTTCTAATGTATTGTTAATAAGCAAAATATATCTATCAAGAAGTAGTTCGACTCTCCGTTTACATCGCACTAATGCAATCACTCACCAATATTTGTATACAAAAAATTCCTTTAGCTAAAAGAGTTAAACAGTATACCTTCTTATTTTCATTTTTATACACATAAGAATTTTTGGGAGAGGGAAAGAGAACGCAATACATGTCTGCCTGTTTTTTTATAATGTATTTTTAAAAGCGGAAGTTATTTACAAATACAAAGTAAATTTTAAAAGCAGGAGTTTCATTTCTCTAATTTATTTCACTACAAGGTGCTAGAAATGGTGTATGCATATTATAAAAGCGAAGCGATTTAAAAACAAAATTTGACTATTAAAATAAATAAAATAAAAAAAAATATAATTTACATATTACTGGTATGTATATGTATATAATTTGAAGAAGGACAAATAATATTAAAAATTTAAAATTTGTAATTAGTAATTGTCATTACATTTATTGTAATATAAACTATGAATTTTTAGCTCTTTTTCAAAAATTTTTTGAAAAAAAAATTGCCTATTAGTTTCACTCTGTCCGTCCGTACGTCTGTCCGTGTGTCTGTTTACAAAACTTCTACACCCTTGAAGATAGAAAGGTGAAATTTTATACGTACATAGATCTTTATAAGAAACCCTTTTCCGGAGAACAAAATTTTCACCTATCTCCCCCGCCCGCCCTAAAAGTTATACCCCCGTAAAACCCTAAAAACGGCATTTTTTAACTATTTATTGCAGTGAAACCATAAACATTTTTCTAAAAAAATGAAAATAGTGTCTGGCTTCTTCTATTGTGGCATACCATTCCTGAATTTTAAAAAAACAAAACGTTTTTTCCAAATTTTTGATGCCGTTTTTCGTCTACATCGTACGTTACAGGAGTCTGAAATTTTAGCAGCTTTTAGATATTCATAAATAGTTTATTTCGTTAGAAGAAAATTTTATCTAATCTCCACCCCCTCTCAAGTTAACACCTCTCGAAATTTGTAAAATTTGAATCACCATATATTTGCGAAAGCACAAGCTTTTTCAAATTTCTATAAACGCAAAAAGCTAACCATAAAGTCCGTGTCATTAAATAATATAGTTATTTTTCTTAACTCACACAATTAAGCCTTAAAATCGAGCATTATGTGAACCCTTCTGGTTGTCGAGTGACGTGAGTGCGAGAAATAATCGAAAATGAATCGTTTCAAGTGAAATTGATACATTTTAAAAAGAAATTTCGGCGAGTAAAGTTCAAACTAAAAAAAATTTTCAGTATATATATTTATATTTTTAAATAATAAAAAAAGTCATTTGCATTACGGTTTACGAATTCATCTCATTCCGGTAGTGATGAAATTAAAAAAAAACAACAATTGAGGATCGAAAGATTTAAGATTAGCGACAGCTCTAATCTATTGGATTTGCCAAATTTTTTTTAGTAAATTAGTTGCAAACATTTTATTTTATTCACAGATTTATAAACTATTACAGACTTCCAAAGGAGGCCTTTGTATATTTACTGAATATATTCGAGGATTTTTATATCACTATAAAAATTATATTCAATATTATTATAACTTAATATACAATACTAATAAATATTATACAAGTAATTTTCAAATATTCGTAATATTCCATATTAAAGAAAAATAAACAGTAAATATTAATAACCTCAAATAATTAATATAAATAAAACTACGGCAGATTAGTCACCTACCTAGTTAAACTCTATGACGCTATGAAACTAGTGCATGAGAAATCATGCACTAGCCCTATGCTCCTTCTAGGAGTGAATAGGGAAAAAAAAAAAAAAAATATTCAAGGGAAAAGCGAATACCCGTAAAAGGCGTACCCTGTCATGAAATTTCAAATTCTTTAAATTTATAAATACTTTCACGCTAAAAACAAAAATTAAATTATATATTTTATAACTTGATTTATGTGTAAAATTAATTTTTTTATGATTTTGTTAAATTGTTTTGTTTTAACTTGCATTTTTGGTTTATCCTTTTTTCTTGTCACTTGTAAATACTTTTCGACAAAAAACGTCGTTTCAGTACGACATATCTCGCAGGGAATTTTTTGTACACAAATATTGGTGAGTGATTGCATTAGTGTGATGTAAACGGAGAGTCGAATTACTTAGTAATAAATATATTTTGATTTGAATTAAAAAAAAATTATTTCAGATAATTACGCCAAACGACATTTCTAATAATAGGGCTGTACTAGACTTTCCATTATTAAAATTTCTGTATAATTGGGATTAAAATTAAGAAATTGCAATAAACAATTATTATAAAGTAATGCTTCGAATTTTTTACATTTTTAAATACTTTTTCATAATAATATGAAATAAAAATATGTTTTATTCATTTACGAGCATAAATTATAAATTTATAGCATATACAAATACGGGCTATTGTTAAATCTAATTGTCGACAAATTTTCGTGGATTATGACCTTATAGGTTCTATGTGAGTATGAGTAAGGTAACTCGAGTTTCTTATCCGAAAAGTGGGCATAAAAATTAGTTTCATATAATAATATATATTAGAATTTCGATTCAACAAGAATAAATTTTAATTCAGTTAACGTAGTAAAAAATGATAAGCTTTGGCTCATGTGTTTTTTCTTTGTCAAAAATTATTTCATATTTAATTCTTTGACCAGACAAATTAATTTTGACATATAGAAATTTGAATAATTTTTTGACGTTGTCAAAAACAGTTTGAGACTTATTATTTATTACGATGAGTAATTTTTTTATTTTTGTCTCCTGAACGGACTTAATATTTTTTTTCCAAAAATGTTTTTCACTTATTTTCATTTTGAGTTTTATTTTGGAAAAGTTTATCCGATAATTTTTTAATACTTGTCAAAAATTCAAATATTCATTTACATTGAATTTACATTCAAATTTGTTTCTGACATTGCTAATTTAAAAAAAAAAGCATTATTAAATACCAACTATGGGTAAGATTTACCAAAAAATAAATTTTCTCGTAATACCAACCATGAGTCAAAATTACTCACAGACTTTTAAAAATTCAATTAAGATTTAAAAATAGTTATATAAAAAGCTGTAGTATACAAGGAAGATATTTGTTATACAATATAGAATCCACTTGAGAGAAAATAAATCACGATATATTAAAGAAATTCGCCTTTCAAGTACGAAGTGAGTGAATTTTACTCGTGGTTCGCAACCCAGAGTTGAAAATTTAGATTTTAGTTGAGATTAATGTTATAAAAAAATCGTTTCTAACTGCCATGTGAACCTATAAATTTTGGGAATTTTTTTCCTTTGATAAACACAATGGCGTTTATCAAATTATAACATCAAATATAATGCGTTACAATTGTGCAGACTTATATTTTAGTCATGTTGAGATTGTTAAGCTAATAAAATATAAAAAAATTTACCATAAAAACAATGCTTTGTTTTCTAAACTGACATAGTAGAACAATGATGTGTAATTTTTATGAAAGGATCTTACTACATACATATTTATGTAAGTTTTTAGATTAACCTACAACCTTCGGAGAAACTCATTTAGGAAATTAAGAATTTTATGACTATTTTTTATAAAAGTTGGCAATCAACATTGCATTAGCAATGAATGGCAATATACAGTACACAAATACAACATGTAAACACGAACATACTTATAATAGCTTTTATATCATGTATTCTTTATTTATAATTCTAAAAAAAAATTACACTTAATATGATAATTAAAACGATTAAAATAAATTAGCACTTTTATTCACATATTTCAAAGCTTTTCACAACTGTATTATAATCATTAACTATATTTCAATCATTAACTGTGAAAATATTTATAGTTTTAATTAAATACTTCGTACTAATGAATTGATTACACTGAAATTATGGACGTTTTGTTAATTTTCATTGATCAAAAAGTAACATTAAAGCACGATTGTTGTACTTTTAAAAAAATCGCAAAGGAAGCAAAAAATTTGAACCTTTACTATTTTATTTTGTTTAAGTAGTTTTTTTAACTGGCCTAATTCACCATAAATACATATTATGTACGTACATGCCTATATTATGCATATAAATTTGTATATATGTATGTACATGAGGACATTTATGCAAGTGTAAATTCTTAAAATAAACTTGAACTGTAATTAGCCATACGGATTATCAAATAATTTTGGAAAACAAATTTTTAAAAGAAAACTTGTTTACATAGTTTGTTGTTTTGACGTACATACATATTATGTATTTGGGTAGTTAATACATACAATGTGAAATCAACCATAAACATGATAGTGTTCAGTACCCACGACCCACCCAATATAAATGGATAATGCACAATATTCTATTTTTAGCACTTATTTACCTTTGATGAGAACTTCATTTTTGCAAGAAGTTAGAATAGGCACTTTTGTAAGTCTTAAAATAATTTACATTGTACAAGTATTATAAAATAAAAAGAAGGCACAATGTTTTGTTAAAATTTATCATTTTCTTTCCACTATTCACTATTCGTTGTTCAATTCAAAACAATAAATATTTTTCTTTAAATGTCAATGCCGATGTTGTTGGAAATAAAAAACTTGTTGCACATGAAAGTGTTGCCAGGTTGAAAATCAAATATTAAAATTCTTTTTGATTTATTGTATGTTAAAAAAATATATTTGGCATAAGGGTTGAGTATTCAAAATACTGTAGCGATTTCAAATTGCATAATCTTTTAAAAATCATTAAATGATGAGAAAAAAACGGATTCTCAAACTTAAAATGGATTCCCATAATTCTACAAATATTGTAGCATTTACATTCCATTATTTCTTTATTCTCAGTTATGCAGAATTGACTGATTAATTACATATATAAACTCCTAATAATGCTATCAAAAAATAAATTGAAAAAGAAATGTACAACAGATTTATTCAAACAAATGATTTATTTTTACATTTTGGTCAAAAATTTGTATTTATGTATGTATATACGCGTTCTAAAATCGTATATTTTCATCAACCATCGTATATTTTCGTTTATATTCTTCATCTTCGGAAGAATAACATAGAAAAAAAAACAAAATATTCTGAATCATCATAACGCATATGAAATAAACTAATGTTCCAAAAAGAATCTTTTTTACGTTTGGTTTTACTCATGAGCTTAATTAGCCAAAAAAAAAATTCGCGTTAATTACAGGCATTTATATTATGTTATAATAGCAAAAATAATATTAATGTACATGTAAGAGTACATATGCATATAATAATTAAGGTTGAATTTTGGACATAATGTCGAGACATCCGACATAATATTAAATATAAAGTAAATAAAACTAAAAATACGGGACAAGTTTACATTTTGGCGCATAAAGTGAGCTTCTGATAAGAGCTAAATTTACATTTTTCTAGGTGTGTTAACTAGAAGCGTACAAGCCTCCTTAAAATTTGTGAGGAGTATTTAAAAGGCATTGTTGTAGTTTTATGCAACATATTCTGGCTAAACTAGACAATGTCTTGCGGTCGGTTATGTGTTGATCATATCAAATTTTTTTTTATGTAAATCAACATAATGCATGCAAAGAATATAACATAATTATTATGTTAGTTAATATGTAATAATAAGCTTATGTCAAACCTAATTTGTATATGACATTTGTACGTTTAGCTTCATTTCAATATGAATTTATTCTTGCAGAGCATTACCATATTTATATTTAACATGTGATTCATGCACATTGTACAGGTACTAGAGCAAACCGACAATACAATATAGAGAGGTGAACTTTGTATTTTTTGTTTTGAACTTAAGTTCATGCTCATTTCAAACCATTACTCATTGATTGACTGCGGGTATATGGATGTAATTTTTTATATTTACCTTATCGAAGTTTTAGTTCTCCTTCCTTTATTAAATGAACTACAAATGTACATACATTCTTATTTCAGCACGTTGAGTCTCAATGTATTACCGGTGAGCAAATCTAAAATGCCAAAAATGGTGAACATAAGGAAACCTACATATCGTCACGTTAGATCAGAAGTATCCTAAGTCCCATTTCAAAAATTTCACAGGAGACAAATTTTAAATATGTTAAACTTCTTTTCGCATAACTTCAAACGCATTTTGTCAAAATTGGACTTAGGATACTTCTGATTTAAGATGACGATATATGCGTTGAATCATCGCTGAACATAATATGTGAATAACGAACGCAACTATAAGTAACGCAGAAATAGATTTAATTTTTACGCAAAAAAAAACCTAAAATTTTATATATGTAACTCTTTAAATTATACATAAATGTACTTAGTTTCTCTAAACTGTACACCTGTGAACACAGTTTCTCTAAACTGAATTACACCTGTGATAAGTCGCTCACAGGTGAGAATACGAACTGTACAAAGCCTTTTAGATTTCCTCATGGCCTGTACAAAGCCTTTTAGATTTACACGATGGAACTCAAAGTAACTATTTTTTAAATTTTTTATAGTTATTTGTTATATTATGTTTTCAAAAATATTTCAAATTAGTGCGATTCGCACTAGGGACTTCTAGCATAGAAAAATGAGTAATTGAAATTAGATTACTTATTTCTCTATGCTTCTAGTTATCTATAATTCTGCGTGAATTAGGAGAACTCCCGGGTTGATAATTTTGGAGAAGTAATCAATTATGTATAATAGTTTTGAGTTCAATTTATTTACATATTTAGTAAGCCATTACATACACTTTTGGCAGGCATGTCCAACTCATTTATCATCACGGGCCATTTTAGAGTTTCCTCATATTGCTTCGTCCCGCACAATAAAAAAACTTAAACTACTAAATTATGAATGTATGTAGCATCTCAATCAATGTAAACAATACTTAGTAATCATACGGATGCTTTTTACTGTAAAGCAATGTGAAGAACATTTCGTCAAAATTTTTAAATTTTTCTGTCTTTAACTCGTTCCTTTGATTACGTCATCATTTGTTCTGCAGTAGATTGAACAGGTTAATCTGGTAATCTTGATCTTTTTACTATTTACTATTTTTTAATATCGAAAACAATATTGTTCACACAAATAAACATGGCTAAAACAAGCTTAATTGATTTATAGGTAAATGATTATAAAATTTAGTAATTTCCACTTCTCTAAATATTTGTTTTAATACAAAATCGCACAGCATTTCGATTTCAATTGTAAATTTGCACTAAGTGTTTCAATATCAACAGAAAATGGAAAAGTAAATAGGTTAAATTCATTTTAATATCTATTAAAATCTTAAAATCTTCTTTTAAATTCGGTTTTTAATCATTTATTCCAATTAGAATGTTCAGAAAATTTTGATTTTACTTCACTGGTCTACTACTTACAAATATAAGAAAATCAAAGTATTTGATTTATAAACAGTCGCTTTCCACTTCTCGAAACAAACTAACGTGAAAATTTGGTTGCGGCTACATTTTACATGCAAATGTGTATTTTTCGCATATTCATAACTTTGGAAACACACCTTCTAACTGATCTAAATGAATATTTGTAACAAAATTATAAAAATTATATTTCACATTTTTAAAATTGGTAGCGTTCTGCAGGATTAGGAACTGCGGGCCGCCTTTTTAACATGCATGCTCTTTTGAAAGAGACCAATTTTTATTTAAAAAAAACATTTGTTATAGGAAATTCAGTAGAGGAAGCAATATGAAGCTAGTATATTTTTTTTAGAATTTGACACATACGTGCCCAAGTAGCTGTGGTAAAAAAAATTTCCGAAATGGTTTGAAAATCGTTTAATTTAAATTTGAACTAAATAACGTGATTAAATAATTTAAAGATAAGTTTGTTTATAAATTTCCTGTTTATATGAATATAGATTTCATTTAAGTACTTTGTCATTTTTTATGTTCACAATGGCGTTGTGTAGGAATATGCAGTGGTTGGTAATTAGGGCCTTAACTTGAGCAAGCAAAAATTTTGTGAAAATTCGTTGCAATCCCTGTATTTTCATAAACCGTTGATATTTGACACCTGGTTTTCAACGTTCAGACATTTTAGTATAGCAAAGTAAACATCACTTAGCCAACAAACGTGTTGGGTAGTAATGTTTTATTTGCTTTCTTTACTTTGCATCTAAGCAAACAAACAACAGTAACTGTAACTGAAACCGTTATCATATATACATAGAAAGGAAAGGAAAGGGAGGAGGAGAAAATAATATTAGTAGTATATTTTTAACTTAATGGAAATTTAGATGGATGACGTAATCAAAGGAACGAATTAAAGTAGAGTAAATCAAAGTTTAAGTACCATAATAGCAAAATTAAAAGCTCGACCAACCGTAAGTTACTGGTATTCTCCTTGTAACAAATTCGATTCAATAAAGCTGGGACGACAACTTTACCCACAACAAATTGATGAATAAAAACTACAACGGAAGCTACTCTACGACAACGAAGCGGCAATAAGCCAATAAACTGAAGCCTGCTCACATAAGGAGGCCATCTAAGCGAATCCGAGCAATCTTTACCATGAAGATCGAAACAAAGGAAGCGCCGCTGCACCGCTTCGATATGACCACTATCAACATTACAAAGAGGAGACCAAACCTGGCATGCGTACTTTAAAACGTGCTTCACGAAAGCAACATTAAGATGTTTCGCCACAAAAGGATCATTAAATTCCCTACACCACCTCATGGGAAAACCTAGAGTAGAGCTCGCCCCATTAACCATCAAATTGAGATGAGCGTTAAAATCGGGCCTACAATCCAACGTAACACTTAGATTACAAATTTGATCAACCCTATCCAGAATTTGTTCATTAAGCCTCTAATCAAATCTTATACCTGTAGAATAACACGTCCTGTAAAAACTCAATGCGCGACATTTGCCTATATTAAGCTTCAAACCATTCCTATAATACACCACAAGGCGAACCTATCAAGATCATTCCACAGACCAACACAATAAACGACTGAACGCAAAAAAGAAAAGAGGATCCAAATGACTACCTCGGGGAACCCCAGAAACAGTCAAAAAAGCATCCGAAATACAAGAACAAAACAGCACCTGGCAAACTCTTTTTTTGACAAGTACAAAAAAAGAGTTTTTTTTTTTTTTTTTTACTCTTTTTTTTTTTTTTGTATGTGGAGACCCACGATAAACTACGTGAAGAAAAGCTCATATTCCTAAGTTTAAAAAGACTAACATCATGTGAGATTCTGCCAAACACCTTACTAATATCACTAAATATTACATAGACCTGACTACCTAACTCAAGAAATCCTAAAGTTTCATAAACAAATTCAACCAAGTTAATTACGACACACCTCCTTGGGTCTATACAGACAATTTGGTGTTGGGTCTATAGTTCAAACATCCAGAAATTCGCCACTACGAAATTGTAAGAAAACTGAGACAAATTGTAAAGAAAACTGAGTGGACCAGCAAGACCCGAAGAACGATCTCGCAAAACAATAGGAGGAACCCCATCTGGACCAGAAGAGCGATCTACACTAAAAGATAATAAATGCTGCAAGACGCAGCCTTAT